CCCCTTGGCCGTGGCAACGCTCGGCACTCGCGGAGTTTGGCTTTGCGGAAAATACTGCGGATAAAAATAGGCGCGTGTCAGATATGCGAAGCGCCCGCGGGCATATAAACCGCTACGGGAGACATTCCACTTTTGCCTCCCATTAATTTTAGGCCACAGTTGTTGGCACGCTATGCCAGGCGCGCGTTTACCCGCACCCCCGTCTGTGGGATATCGCTCTATTTTGGACCGAGCGCAAGAGTACAGCGGTTAGTGATAACGCAAACGATAGTAATACCGAGGGAAGCAAAGCTTCGGCCAAAGTGAATGAATATAGCAAATCTTCTTGGTTCTTTCGGTAAAGTCACGTAGAAGGGAAGTAATAAAATAATAAAACATAATAAAATAATTCTCACGACGTTTCGGCCACAACGCAAGCAGCCGTCCTCAGGTGAAGAATGAAACACCACCAAGCTTGGAGCGTATATTTAAGCTGGGTTGGAGGGGGGGAGGTGGGAAGAAGAGCGCCTTCTTCCCACCTCCAACCCAGCTTAAATATACGCTCCAAGCTTGGTGGTGTTGCATTCTTCACCTGAGGACGGCTGCTTGCGTTGTGGCCGAAACGTCGTGAGAATTATTTTATTGTTTTATTTTTATTATTTTATTAATTCCTATCTACGTGACTTTACCGAAAGAACCAAAAAGATGAATCCCTGCAGTCACGAAAGCTTTAAATCGGAATATAGCAAATTGTGTACGAAAACGATTAAAGATGTGCTTGTGTTCAATAAACGACACATGTCGCTATTTTAATACGTGAGATGTAACGTCGCCAACGTGTGTTTCCGCAAAGCTTATTTCAGACCGTGTGTGTGTGTGTGTTAGCTAAATGCGTTGCGGTGATCGTTGCGTGCGGTTGCCTTCGAAGCGATAATTACCGCAGTGGTGCGTGATAAACAAAGTCAAGGCAACTTACAAAGGTCCCCGGGTCACAGAGTCATGGATGTGAATGCTCTCTCATTGAGCTTCTGCAATAAATGCTTTTCCACCACCGTTGTACTGTAACCCCCTTTAACCATGTACACAAAGCTACCTTTGTCTCCCCATTACTAATGCTCATATACTGCAGCAGCAGGTACTAATTTTAGGCTGAGATGTCTCGGGGAAATTCCCAGGCTGGGTTTAATTGTCGATTTGCCAGTTGTGTTACGAATGAGTAGAAACTTAACCCTGGCTTCTGGAATCCCGAGTGCAGCGCACTCAATTGCCGCCATATCACTACCCCGCAAATGAAAAAAAGATTCAGATAAAGATTTCCTGTACGGTATTAGGAATTCAGATTGCTGGGGCAAATTCTGTGAGCACACGAGAGGGTAATGTGGCCAGCACTGTACTTGATGTTCATTCACATCCCGCACCAGATAGTTATGGTTAAGTCAACTTAGTGCAAGCCCAGGACTAATTATGATACCACCAGCTACTCGTGTTAGCCAAGGCTGTGAAAAACATTTCCAGATTGCTGTGTTCATAGTGCGGTGTGCTAACAACTACACTACTGCTTACCATTCATACACTCACAAAGGCAAATATTCCCCCCCTATAGCCTGAACAGATAATTGGGGCAAGTGTTTTTAACGTGTAGCACCTATGAAGGCCATCACGGCACATGCCCGGCCGCTGTTATCTCCCCAGTGATGATTTTCAACACTCCGCACTCGGTCTATATTTACTGCTGAGTTGACCTCGTTGAGGTCCAGGTTTGGTTCAGATATTCGTCACTGGTGTTAGTGGCCGTGAGCGGGGATCGAACTCAGGTGGTAGAGCAGCACGTTAGCCGCTACGCTACAGCAGCCCACGTCACACATTTTCAGGTGTGTTATGTAACTTATAACGAGGACTGCCTGTTCATCCTGAAAGTGGTTATAATGAAGGTTCTTAACATTCGCTAATCTGTGCAATTTGAAACAACAACAATGCACGTCTGCAACATGTAACTTGTTTTATGCGCAAAATGTTTTATTCACACAATGATTTATGTAGCCATTAAGTGAGGAATGATCACTATTATGCAGAACAGACGATGTTTTACATTAATGCGATAAATCGAATTTCATAATATGTTCAAACAAAATAAAGGGAAATGCAATTTATACAATGTTTATGTAACGTTTTATAACGAGGGACTATTAACAGTGTAAAGTTAATTGTCCCACTTATATAATTAAATTTCTTTCACGGGTCCACGCATTTCAAAGTACGAATTAACTTCAGTAAAGCTTGATAGTTGTTATCTAGGTAATGCAGGGGATGTTTGCGCGTATTTAATTTCACGCCGTAGAATGTCTGAGCGGGCCCTGTTTAGCAAGCCACCCATTAAGGTGTGAAAATCAGACACGAGGACACATTTTGTCCTCATGAGAATTCATTTGCTTTCAAAGCGATGGGCAATTTTAACAGCATCACTTCCCATGTGTATTTTTCTTCTTCGAGTTGTGCTGAATGTTGTTGGGCGCGTTGTCTGGATGTCTCTCTCGACGTGCGCGCAAACATCTTCGAGAACTTCGGGTACTGAAGCGAAACGTAGAACATCGTGCTGAACGACGTGCTGCACAGTACAACCGATAAGTTCGCTCAACCAATAGTGACATTGGCCAGGAGAAAATATCAATTTTCTCTGGAAGAAAAAACAAAACATGTGCGCATCACAAAACCGCATTTCCAAAATGATATGATATTAATGCTAACATTTTCCAAGCCCTGTGTTCCTCTAAATATATTAAGATGCTTTCAGCCAATGAATGAGTAATTATACATGTGGGAGGAGCACACGGAGAAAATCCACGCATGTGATGGGACAGCAATATTCCCCATTACAGAAGAGACAGATAATATGAAGCTATGTTTTTGTGACATGCTTGACTTTTGTCCACTTTGCACTCCTATAGTTTTTTGTATCGTTTGTTATTGTAACTTGCTGACCCGCCCCGAATGGACAACTATGAAAAAGAGCGTCATAGCTCGTTGGATTCCTCCTGGATAAATACAGATTCTGATTCTGATATTATTTCACGCTTTCGCTTCACCGAATTATTCTGGCAAGCAATGCAGGGTGCGGCATCTCTCCACCCACGGGAAGGGAGTTTCACAACATCTGTGCGATCCACCGACGCTTGCCTGCCCAGTGCGTAGCCACCAGAGGTGGGACAAAGTCATTGTTATGCAAGTCCAAGTCGAGTCTGAAGTCATCAAATTCATGACTCGAGTCTGACTCGAGTCCAAGTCACATGACTCGAGTCCACATCTCAGAGGTGGGACAAAGTCATTGTTATGCAAGTCCAAGTCGAGTCTGAAGTCATCAAATTCATGACTCGAGTCTGACTCGAGTCCAAGTCACATGACTCGAGTCCACATCTCAGAGGTGGGACAAAGTCATTGTTATGCAAGTCCAAGTCGAGTCTGAAGTCATCAAATTCATGACTCGAGTCTGACTCGAGTCCAAGTCACATGACTCGAGTCCACACCTCTGGTAGCCACTACCGCCACAGTAGCCACCACAGCTCAGCTGTTGTTTAAACCATGAACCTCATCTTAGACGAGGCACTGTAAACGCCATGCACATCATTTTTATACAGTCTTCAGTCGCAAACATCACATGCATTTCGGTGCAGTATAAATAACTGATGCACAGTGCGCTAAAGGCCACATGAAGCCTTTTAAAACTTGAAGAAGCATGTTTTGCACGCGATTTTTACTTTCATTTTTAAGTGAATAAATATTTCACATTTGCTTCAAAATGTAATTCCCCTTCGGCGATGAAGGCCTCTCCACACCGTGGTCATGTGACTCGTTTGACCATACTTCACCACGCCCGTCAATGTGGATTTTAGTGAATTGGGGAACGGGGAGGGGGTTGACCAGAATCTGTTCAAATAAGACTATCCAATTTTTTAAAATGCTGCCTCTCCACCAATCTCCTTCATTTCTCCACACGGTCTCCCAGCCGACTCCTTATTTCCACTTAGTTTTCCCTGACGACCAATCCGATTTGAATGTTCTCCACATTCAAATCCAATTGGCCATGCCCGACGTCGGCTCCACCTGTGATTGCTCGTCACCAATAAGAATCGAGCACGCTCTTTGAACTCACGAACCGTTAGACGCTTTGGGTGTACATTTATTTGTCACCTAATAGAGTTTGCCTCTCGGCATCCCTTACATAAGGATTAGCATGGTGGACTTTCAAACCATAGTTTAACACGAAGTAGGCTTTCGCGACCAATTTCATCCACAATATAGGTTTTTTGGGTTAGATCGCCTAAATATAACGAGACATTTATATTTAGCGATCTAACCCCAAAAAAATATTGTGGATTTCAATCCAAAGATCGCTGGTCCGATTCGATCTCTCCGTGAAGCAGTTAAAACACATATTCTTAGGTTTTTTCGGTAAAGTCACGTAGGTAAAACATAAAAATTAATAAAAAAATACCTGAAGACGGAAGCTTGTGTTGCCTCCGAAACGTCGTGATTTTTTTTTTATTAATTTTTATGTTTTACCTACGTGACTTTACCGAAAAAAAACCTAAGAATATGAATCCTTGCAGTCACGATAGCTTCAAATCTAGAGTTAAAACACAGTTTCTTAAATGCCCTCTCTCTGTCCACCCAGCAGTATAAATGGGTGCACCACAGTTCATCCATTGCATCTATGTTGAACTTCTTTCGCACCGTACGTAGCCAACCATGCTAATCGGAGGTACGGAGGAAGGACAACTAAACTAAGCACGTAGCGGTACAGTGTGGGTACTCTCACTTCTTCCAAGATGTCAAATACCCTCTAGAGGGGCTCTCCAGAGCTCCCTACAGTGGAGGCCTTTCTACCAGTGGTGGGGTGAACAAAAATGTGCGGCTCTGCACCTTTGCCTTTACCCAGCGCTTTGTTGGCATGCGTCGGGGCTTCTTAGCCACGCCACCCAGCTCTCCCCTGTCCCTTACATCCTCGTGCTGTTGTGCGCCACCAGACGGGGCTGATCCGGCTGCCTCGGGGCGACTACTTCATCGAGCCTCTCACGGAGCCTCCCGGCCAAGGGACCGGCCAAGGGCGGCCACACGCCGTCTACCGCCGGCACGCCGGGGCCAGCAGCCGCCCGCGCGCCAACGGGACGTGCGCCGTGCCAGGTGACATCCTAAATGTGGAGATTTGTACATCCACTGCACCGCAGCTGTAGCTGTTGTCATCGGGTGAGCTCCTCACACCGTGACCACCGCCGGCCATGCTGCTCCTCCGCTCGCGAGCTGCCCACACTGTTGTGGCAGGTGAGCCGTCATGTCACCGCATAACGGATGGGTTGTCAAAGCGCGCGCCAAGTGAGCTCTTGAGACGTGTGTCTGGTGGGCTGCCGTGGCACACGCCGCGTGATCTCGTCGCTCTGCGTAGCAGGCGAGACGCGGCATCGCCGGTTTACGCGCACAATCGTTGAACGACGGTTGTGTTGAGTTTTAGTTAATTGTGCTTATGCACCGCTGCCAACGCAGTATCAGAACAGTTTTTGTGTAATTTAGAAGCGATGTAACTTCTCACATGAACATGTTGAATAATGTTGTTGTTTACGCACATGTCTATTTTAGGATGATGAGCTTTGAATTTAGAAATTTTGTGTCCCAATCGTGTAAACTGCGGGGGTGTTTTTTTTTTACTCTCTTAAACATTTTGATTTTTTCCAGACATTGTTTTGTCAAGGGTTTTGCATCTTTCAGCATCGTTGTTTAATGATGTGGAGGAGTGTGAGGGTACTCCGTATCTCCGTTTAATAACCCAGGCGGCGCGTCAACAACTCCTAATCAGGACCGGGAGCCAACATCGCAGCCCACATGGGTGTCCGAGACAAAGAAACTAAAGCCCAGCAGCCACGGGACAAACACTGCTTGCCCTCGGAAAGGAAATTAATAAACATTCCTCGGCCAAGAGTAATGGTGACATTGACCCAGTGAATTACAGGAAGTTGCCGCTCAGGCTACGAGTGATCATTCTGTGTCCGGATTATGGTGGGAGTGGGCTAATAGAGAGACACACAAACACATAGATAACTTATAAAAATTGTCAAACAAACATACTCTACAAAGCCTCCCACAAACCACCCAATTTTGATATTTTATTTGATCACTGCCCATAGAGGATTTTTATTCTAAAGATGTGGAAATTTAAATCACCCAAATAATCGAAACGCACGGTTTTAAATGTGGAGGTAAAAAACTGGAGGAGAAAAATCCTCACAACCACGGGGAGAACATGCACACTCCAAATATACAGGCGTCATGGTTAGGATTGAACCCACGGCCTCCTGTATACCAAGCGACTTAGTTAACATCTCGCCACCGTTCGTGTCCTTTGGTTTGAGCAGCAGGATCGATTCCTGACCAGGGGATAGCACAACCCATCATCATCATCATTATCCCAAAGAAGTTGGTGATGTAGACTTCGGCTGTTAGGTGGCCATGAGATGGCAGTACAGCAATACATTCTTAAATCTATCTGTGCCGAGCATTGAACCTTATCCTTTCATATCCGTGACATTTCTTCAGTTATCTCATTTCACTCCGACATGCCAAAACTCTTACAAATGGAACTTGGCCAAACATCCCATTGCAAGACTCTCCTGAAACTGGGTCTTGAGAACCCAGTCTGGCCCTTGCTCATTAAAGGACATTCATATTGCTGTTATTGTTATGACAAAATGAGGAATGCCTGTTGAGGTCGCACCATTTGGGGCAGGGTAGCCAACAGTGGTTTGTCCTGTTATAACAGCCAAATACTCTCAGCGGAGAAAAATCCACACCACCATGGGGAGAGAGACATGCAAACTCCAAATATACAGGCGTTTTGGTAGAGATCGAACCCACGATCTCCTGTATTCCAGGCGAGGTAATGAACATTTCGCCACCGCGGCTGCTTCTGGTGACATCGTGCAGATTACAACCCGAGAAACACACGAGAGCGCTATTCAGCACGACCTCAAAAAAACCTCCGGCGAGTTGTATCCCATCGTGTTGCTCGATCGAGCAATCGTTTTGTGCTAGCGTTTTACTGAAAACAACAACAACAACAACCGCCGGTTGATACGATGTCACGCTCCCCAAAACACACTTGGCCCCACTGTAAACATCCGTCGGGTTGCCTAACGGGCACTACGTCACGTCACGTTATTAGATAAACATGTGGATCTGTAAGTGCATAAATAATCACCACAGCCATGCTAAACAGCACAGGATGTTCTTGTTAAGAGACATGTTTCATTTTGCGAGTCTCCGAAAACAATTGTCACAATTATGATTTGCTTCATATGAAACCCATCAGACACCCCGTATACGGTCTCATTATCTTTGTATAAACAGTGCTTATGAGTTGCTATCAATTGAGATAAAAATATAAGCCTCAGCTTCACAACGTTTTTTTTAATAAAAACACAAGGTTGTTATTTTGCCTGGAAAATATATTTTTTATATCGATCATCCAAGAAAGCTTTGTTGTGCGCTCCGGATAAATTATTTTTACATTGTATGGTCGAGTGTGAGGCACCATTGATAGGGTGTGTGTGGCTTTTTTAGTGTGACAATAATTTGCTTGTCAATATAAATTTGTTGTGTCACTATCACAATGTCTGGGCCCCATTCTCGTGAAATTGCAAACAAATTACTATTATCCATTGAATTCAAACTTGTTATGATTGGCTGAGAAAGAGCACTCGCTGTGCAAGCCTGTGTCCATTCATCGACGTTAAATGGGAAAACTTCTTTGTATTACGTACATGAGACATGGCTAGCGGTAGCTGCTTGTTGCAGAGGTTCACGTTCGAATCCAGTGGCTGTCCTGGTTATCACTGCGGCGTAATTAACTGTAGAAATACTATGCTCTGTCTGCTTCCCAGTGGACGTTAAACATCCCGTGACGTCCTTCGCCAAGTGTAGGCCATTGTGTGCCATCGTCATGTTCCAAATTTTCCAATTAAAAAAAATCACACAAATTACCAAGTAATAGCCGGCGGCGGCCACTGAATTTGAACCGTGAGCCTCTGCAACGTGAAACCCCGTGCGGTTTTCCTGGGTAAACAAGCATGAACGAATAAATGACAATGAAATAAGATCACACTCAGCTGTAAACCTGGTGACCTGATGTCAATCACGGGTAGAGAGTTCAATCTGAACCGGTGCCTCCAATGATTCACAAGAAAGGTCAAACAGAATTTCATGCCCAAACCAGCAGTGGATTTACAAAAGAGTCGTACATCATTATCGGTTGCTTTCAGATGCGCTTCTGCGGTGGCCTGGAACGCTCTTCCGATATTAGGAAGTCACTGGAGCTATGCGCTTTTAAATCATCATGTAGATTGAAAACTCATTTCTTAAGAACAGCTTTTGTGCTCAGTTTGTTGTCGTTCCCCCCGCACCTCCGATTAGCACGGTTAGCTACATACAGTGCGAAAGAAGTTCAACATACATACAGACCTTTTTAACAGTATACAATTGTACATGTACAGGCCCTGCACTGCTGTTTTCTGTTGCCAAGCATTTAAAATCAAACCTCGTGTGGATGAGAGGCCACCTTTATGAGATCTAGAAGTAGTTCTCTGATGTCTGCTTCCGTGGATCATTCTCTTAACGCGAGACAGATGAACTGCCCTGCGAGAGTGCCAAATGGGTTCTTTCTCGTATGACGCAATGGCGATATCACAATCGGGATGAAGTTTCTGGACAAACCAAAAATAACGTTGCATGTTTAGCCACGGATTTCATAACTGCCAAGCGGTGTTGTAAGCGTCACGCACTGTTGGTGTTCATATCTGCGGGCATCGTGTGTCGCCGGTCGACTTCCATGAAAACTGCGCCACTCAAAACAACACCGGAGATGTTAGCGTGGACTTCAATAACAATCAAGTAATTTCCCACTCACTTGTTGGGTGTATTAAAGTGGCCACTTTACCCAGGGGAATTAAAAAATAAAACCCGGTGGCTGTAATTGGGGTAATTTAAGTGGAATCTGATCAAGTCAGCTGTTGATCCCCCCCCCCCCCCCAACTTCCAGCCTCCTTTTGTCAGTTTCCTTCAGGTCCTGTGTTTATTTTGTGGCACGAAAGGCAACCCCCCCCCCCTCCACCTTATTGCTAATGTGCTGCACATAAACACAATTACAGAGGTCCTCCCACATTACCCATATACGCTGTTGAGGCAAGTGCTGTTCGCGAACACATATTGAGGCCATCACGTCCGCACGAGGCGGTGATGTGGCCAGCCAGTGCTGACGCTAACATACTGCACTATGCACCGCTCCAAGTACTCGTTGTCGGCTGAGTCAAGCTCGAGGGAAAGTCCAGGACAGGTCCTGATGCCACTCGCCACTGGATAGTAGCCACGTCTTGAAATTGAACGCAAGTCACCGGGTTCGTGACTCCACTTGTGCCACCATGCCACGCAGACACAGCGACGCGGGCTATAGAAGTTTAATATTGGCAGCAGCAACAACCAAAAAAAATTCGATTTAAAGCTTTCGTGACTGCAGGGATTCATCTTCTTGGTTCTTTCGGTAAAGTCACGTAGAAGGGAAGTAATAAAATAATAAAAATAAAACATAATAAAATAATTCTGTTTTATTTTTATTATTTTATTACTTCCCTTCTACGTGACTTTACCGAAAGAACCAAGAAGGAAAAAATACATGTTGGCGGGAAATCGAGCTTTCAGCTTGGTTCCTCCCATATCATCACCTGCGATACCAACTTACCATTTTGTAGGGGGAAAAGTATGGGGAGGGGGGGAGGGATGAGGAAGAGGAGGGGGTGTCAAGACCGAACATTGGAAACAGCCAGAGGTTGAGTGAGTTTCTGAAGAGATCAGATCTCCCCACGAGACAAGAACCACCGCTGGGAATCCCCGTCTGGTAATGACACCGTGGGACAAAAAAAATGTGCAAAATCAACACTTCTGTTGCTTTTTACCGATCTCTTATCTGCTTTCATACAGATTGATTACAGCAGCTGCCATATCGGTCTATATTTTGCAATCCGAAGCCATCTTCACCTTTGGATTAGTGTCATGGCCACACCACAATGCGACGCTGTGGAGGTTACGTCACCGGAGTAGATAGCTACAGACTTCATTTAAATACATCTCTATGGAAGTGAACGGTTTTCGCTTTTAATTGAGAAGATCTCTATGAGAGTAAATGGCATTCTCTTTAACGACAGTGAATGATAGTTACTTTAACAGAACTTATAATAGAAATAAGCAACTTAACGTGGCTTTCACTTTAAATGTATGTATTTTTAGTGAAAGTGAATGAATGTCGCTTTAAACAAAATATCTAAAGACGTGAACGGAGATGGATTAGGATGCATCAAAATGTTGTGCGTATGTAGATGTCTGTGTTTGACCAAATCATCTGATCAAACCTTGGAAGCTAAGCAGGTTTCAGCCTGGCTATTGTTTGGATGGTTGTCCACTATCCATAAAACATAACAACTGTAATACTGCATTGGCAATGGTACACAAGCACAAATAAGAAATCTCAGCACAATCTTCCACACTCAGGATTCGGGTGCAGCTATTAAAACTAAACTATTACAACTAAACATTTTTTTTTACTTTACCAGGTAATCCCTACTGAGATATGTAGCTCTTTTTCAGAAGCGACCTGGCCACAAATGATAGCTCAACAAAGTGGCTTATCACGTGTAATTTAGAGTGGCCACCTATTCTAAACAGACGTTGATTCTAAATGTGGAGGACCCGTAGAATAATCCACACGACCACGAGAAGAGAGAGAGAGACACGCAAACTCCAATTATACAGCAGGCGTCATGGATCTGGATCGAACCCACGAGCTCCTGCATACCAGGCGAGGGAGTTAACATCTCGCCACGTTGTCCTCGTCCGCCAGACTCACCTGTGGAGGCGAGCCGGGTGGAGCTGCAACGCGAGCGCTGGGAGGAGCGGCGGAGGCGGGCGACGGTGCCGGGCAGGAAGATCGTGGGGCGCTCGCGTGAGGTCAGCCACGAGCGCTGGGTGGAGGTCCTCGTCGTCGCCGACGACAAAATGGTGGACTACCACCGTAAGGGCAGCACCGAGGCCTACGTCTTCACCGTCATGAATATGGTGCGGCGCCAGGAGCAAGGGCAATGTTGATCTGAGTGTTTTGTTTTTGTTTGGCAAGCGGAGGTCACATTCGTGTGTCTTGTGTGTATGTGCGTGTGAGATACATCCGGGCAGATGAGGTTGCGTTATCTGGGTCATATGAACCGAATGCGCGATCTCCACATGCCCGAGCAATTTCTGGCTGGATAGAGGGGGCTAAATAGGCACGACATGGGCAGGGAACGAGATGGGCTGATGTAGTACAGGAGGATGTGGAGCTGGGTGGACTTGCTGACGATTGGTACCAGCGGTGTCAAGATAGGCCTCTGTGGAGGAGGCTTATAAATGACACTAGTGGCTAGTTAGAGGCAGCTGCCATTTTGCCCTAAATAAATGCTTACTCAGATAATTGCCCCAAGAGTCTATTAAGGTCTATAGGGATCTCTGTCTTTTTGTTTCATACACCACTCCCTTGTGTGCCATACTGCCTTAATAGGTGCTTTATAAGAGCACTTTCCCCTCCCCGTCTCTAAATGGGGCATCAGTTTTTTTTATATTTCCCTGCCTTTCATCACACTTCACTCCCTGCTTGAGAAGAATTGCCATTGTTGTTTTTATATTTTTTTATCACTGCTCTGCAGTTGTGCATAAGTTATGATGCGCTGCCAAATTCGACTTTGAGAAAGATTTCAAAGGATTTTTGCCAATTTAATGAGGAATTTACATTTAAGAGACAGAAAAACAGCAATAAACATGAACGCCGACATACATAAAAGCCTAATATTTTAGTTTTTACGAATGCGATGGAACAAGGGAATTGAATTTTTGGGCTCGCTACATTGTAAATAGATAAAGTATACGTAACATAAACTAACTCTCACCATGTTTTGATCGCTCCTCCACGTTTTCTCATAAGTCACGCAAAGTTTCATATGGGCGTGGAATGCATTCACTCAGTCAGCTGAGCAGGTGCTTTGGTGAATCAAAGGCGCTAACAACGAAAACTTAACTTGAATGTCAGGAGCCTTGGTCGAATGCTAAGACCATGTTTAAAAACCTCACCCGCAAGGAGTCGGGGTCAAAGGCAAATTTGTAAATAACGAAAGGTTTCCCTTATCTGCTGGTGCTATTTTTCTACGACAGAAGCAAACGGCGCCTGCAGGCTGATACTGTGCGAGAGAACATTGCAATGTTCGTGGGGAACGTCAACACGAACGTCAACACCACGTTGTGACGACAACCACACTAATACACAACTGAAACAATTGCCTGCCTTGCTAACATCACTCCGACTGGAGGCGTACACAAGGGATCTTGCTGCACTGTGGACAAAGTAGCCTTAGTTGTGTTTTTTTTAGGTGTGGAGTTAAGTGGTCCTTTTTGGGGGATTGCCAGACCAAACAGGTTGAGAACCACTGCTCTTAACCCTCACCTCAAGAAAAACTGATACACTCATCCCCCAGCATAACTCAAACCAATCACCGTAAAATATTAAGCCTCTGCATTTTGAAAGCATTTATTTTAAATCCCTGCTGGACCACTGATCGAATCTTAGTGATCCATAGCTCGCTCCGTGGGTGGCATCGTAGCGAAGGTTTGGTTCATTTCACAAGCACTTAAAACAACACAGGAAACACCACAGGCCTCGTGATTTACGCTGCACCTGTGCAAACATACAATGGGTCACACGTGGCGGTGCTTTGTTGCAAAAAAAAAGGTTTAAAAGGCTGTTTTTCCTCCCACTCTTTCATATACATTCTTTGAACGATTACGGGGTTCATGGAGTGCTCACAATAGGATCAACCCTGTGAGGAAAACCGCGAGAACATATTCCATGAATTTCATTAAAAGTTGCTCAAATCGTACTGAACAATGACCTTCATGGGTATATATAGTTCTGATGTGTTGTATTGCTCATAGAGAAAAACATCACATAGAGCCACCTGATGGTCAAGTGCCCAGCTTATTGTCAACCATGCAGAGAAAGCAACAGATTGCCTCGGATTGATGGAAACTGCCAGAGCAGAGGTTTGGATCCTGACAGAGTTGTTTAAATTGGCCAACGTTTCTACAGACTAACAGTTGTACAGCTTGAGGGGCAAGATGAACCACCCATTACATTCCGTCAACGGCCTGGTAAGAGCCCTTTGTAGGCTCAAGGGCAGAATTAATATCACTAGTCCTAATAGTAATTTTGGCTTAGTCCATAAACTGCACACTATTACTTGTTATTAAAACCTGATATGAACTTATCTTGCCATTCGATTCTATCAATTGAGGTATGTAAGGACCTTCAGGTGTTTTGTGGTTAAAATGCGGGCGTGAGTCTGGGGGGGGGGGGCGTGCCATCGAGGGGCAGCTCGAACACCATTGATGGAGTGAAGCCGCTGGAATGAAGGCGGTGAATCTGCAAGCGAGCAACCCTGATCGGAATTCTGAGATGGATTTTCAATTTTCATCAGTGCGCCGCAATCTGAATAAGATGGATTTAATTAAAATTCCGCTTTACGTGCCTTTTTTGGTTCTCGATATGGCAGAAATACTTTTTTTGCTGTACTGTTCATTTCATCGTTGCACTTTTAATTACGCGTTCATGGTCGCCGTTTGCGTGAAACTTTTTGGGTCATTGCCCTGGGCAAATCCATAGATGTCATATCTAAATCGCACCCCCAATTACACCGCCGTGAGTGAATGTTTCAAGTGCTATTTCCACCGATAGTATTAAACTGCAGTGGAGTGATTTAATAATCCTTTGAGGCACGACACTGAAGCGGTATTTTATATCAGCGACGCTTACAAAAAATTACAGACGCAGGGATTTCACTTAAATATTGGAGGATGCCAAAAAAATATTATTTAGTGTTATGATCTGTCGTCACCCCAGCTGATGCCTTTTGCTGCCAGTTTCAATCGCATATTTTACGACACGGTTTGAATCCCTACCTCACCTTAGCTGAGACTCCATCCCAGGGAACATGTCATTGTAAAAAATCATTTTAATCAAAGTCAATCCTTGAAATTTCAGCTGCCCTCAGAAATTGTGAATCCTTGAGAGCGTGTAGCAGAACCGCTCTCTTGCCATTTGTCTTCTGCCGGGTGTGCCTATAGTGACGGCTGGCATACGGCACGGGAGGAGAGAGAGAGAGAGTTTTAATGAGACCGGTGATTGAGCGGAGCTGGGGCTGCCCCCGCAGGTCGCCGGATTGTTTCGTGAACCGAGCATCGGGAACCTCATCAAGGTGGTCCTGGTGCGAGTGATCCTTCTTGAGCAAGAGGAGGTGAGGCCCGGACGCAGAGTGACCAGTGGAGGCAAGAGGAGGGGAAATATTCTTCTCTTCGCACCAAAGACGACGGCCACTCGGATTTCCCAGAGGAAATTCCACCCCCCATCCCTTTTTCTCTCTCTCTCTCGCCACCACCCAATTACAAGCTTTTATTTATTTAATTTCTTCCTGTTCCACCTTTGCAAATCTGAACGGACGTGAAAGTGGGCGCGTGCTCTGTATTAAAATAATAATAATTAATTGGCCACTCTTTAATTTATTATCATGCAGTTTGGTAATACCGGTTGAACAAAAAAATATGTATTTTACCGGTTGGTGTTTTTTTATCCCCCTGTATTTCCCATGCCTCTCGTTTGTGTGCAATTAGCAAGACCTGAAGATCGTCACGAATGCTGAGAAAACTCTGGCCAGCTTTTGCAAGTGGCAGAAAAACATTAATGTCGGAGATGATTCACACCCAAACCATCACGATGTGGCCATTCTTCTCACCAGGTACAAAGACAAATATTTCCCCATGTAGCCTTTAACACACTGTTGGAGCAAGCACTGCTTGCGACCACTTGTTAATGGCAGTATACTCACATACACACACAAGCCCAATATCCCCGGTACATTGCATCGATGAAGATGATTACTGTTTGCGAGCACCTATTAAGGGCTGCACGTTGCATGATGGAGTCATGTAACTATCGTCATGCCTGACCTGTGTTGCCAAATTGTTGCACCGGATACTTATTTAAAGCTGAATGGACCTAGGGGAGGCACACGACTGGTTTAGATATCCCTCAACACTGATGTTAGCCGACACTGAGAAATTGGTACTCGGTTTGCCGGGTTCATAGCGCAGTGGCACAAAGCATCGGGCCATCACTGCCCACGCATAAACACACGCTCGTGAGGGACTCGTAACAAAAACCCCCCAAAAATGTGGTCAGCGTGGGTCAATGTGACCGTCGTTGTTAGTTGACTATGCAGTGGCTATGGGACAAATTATTGCGTGAGCTCAAGTGTAGAGTATTGCAATATGTAAGCAATGAAACGAATTGTATACCGTGTTCTCGGAATTATAAGACACACTTCCCTCCACCTCCCTCGGTATTTTAAAGCAAAAGTTGGGGGAGTGTGCTTTATAATCCTGCGCGTGTGCGCGTGTGACGTACATATGCGCACATAAAAACAGGGTACACCAACATCAAAGACGTAGGTTGTTAGGTGCAAGGGTTGTTAACGATTATGATTTCACGAAGTTACAATCCTTGAAAATCCACTGCAGGATGACGGCCTCCCCATGCCACATCAGCCATTGGAGTTGCTTTAACTGTACTGACTACGCTGGTCAATACGGGTTGCTAAAATGCAGGACCATAGATCTATTCAGATATCACTCACCACTGATGTTAGCCAAGGCCTCGACACAAAAGTGTGGCTTTCTCTGTGTGCCTATGTTTGTTCTCTCTCTCTATGTATCTCTGTGATATCTGTCTGCTTATATGTCTGTCTATATGTCTCTAGTTCTGTGTTGTATCTCTCTCTCAAATTTAGCATTCTCAGGAAGAACGTAATCAACCAGGTAGGGTGTTGACTGTTATGTTATCCGACTCTGTTGTATTACATTACATTTCTAAGTATACTAGATTTGTGTTTCTATTTCATTTATACCTGATGATGATTGCTTGTGTTGCAATCGAAACGTCGTATGCTAGTATTTAATTTATTATTTTATCTTTATACGTGACTTTACAGAAAGAACCAAAGAGTAATCGAACTGAGGTTGCTGGGTTCACAGCTTGCAGCTCTACACACCATGCCACCGCTTCTCACCCACTGATACATATTTGATACGTGAAATACACACACATTGTATTTGAGTGCTGCATTCAGTTGGCAAGATTGTTATTCGACTAAGCGGAAACAATAACTATTGTCGCGTTCAATGCTTGTTCAACGTGCTAATGAATTTGTTTGGCTGTGTCGGGTGGAGGGTATCTAATGACACAGGTTTGGTCAGATCGTTTGCTTGGCCTAGGCCAAAGATCAGTTATGAACGAGAACTTGAAGAGAAGAGGACAGAAAGTGTACGGTTATGTTCAGACAGCTGTACGCACTGTGCCCGCTGAAACCAAAGTTATAGATGCGACCAAACTCCATCATTCAGCTCCGTGCAAAGAGGCGCCTCACGATTCATTCCCAATCCAAATAGTGTGTTCTTGCCCAGATTACCGCCGCAAACGTACTCCTTAAAAAAAAAGTGTTTTTTGAAAAGTGTTCTTCTTATAATATATGCGGCAAATTTCCTCATGCAACATATACATGTGGACGGGTTGTCAGGACCGTTCTGGATCAGATTACGGGTTGCAATGTTTGTTCTCTGACACCTTCATGCAGACCTATTTATTTGTACAAGTCACTCACTCCCATGGCAATGGGATTATTTGCAGTGAAGGGCACTGATGTCCCGGCAAGCAAATCAAGATATTTTTTTTTTGCTGGAGGTGCTTGACTTGAAATACTTGACTGGAGGTACAGTAAAACCTTGGATTGCGAGTAACTTGGTCTGCGAGTGTTTTGCAAGACGAGCAATAAAAAAAAATATTCATTTGATAAACGAGCGAGGTTTTGCAATACGAGTAGCACGTGTATACGCTTTGTCTGCCGAGCGTCACGTGATCACAACTGATATACGAGTGCTTTGGATTACAAACACGTTTCCGGAACGAATTATGCTCGCAATCCAAGGTTTTACTGTACTATAGTGCAGCTCATATATTGCGTAGCGGAGGCTGAGCAATGCCTGTTGTGCTGAGCGACATGGTACAAAAAACAACCTCACTGAACATTTCTTGCCTCTGTCACCCAGTGCTCATAATCGCGCACGCCACTGGATAAGGTACTCATTTTTGGCTGGGTGAACTCCTGAGAGGCCCAAGCAGGTTTCGTATCCACCTGTTACGTGGCAGGACCATGAGAGAATAGTGACCATTGGCGAGGTCTTCAACCAAGAATATTTGAGCACTGGTCGAGATGTTTGCATGCTCAGAAAACTGAACTGAACCCCACAGGATCATTGTGTGGATCTTCTCACTACCACACCAGAGATGCGTATGTGATAGCTTCTACACAGATGCACACGAGTACAAAGGCGGCAAAGAATCCTCTCATAGCCTACATTGAGTGTTGGCGCAAGTGTTCCTTTGCAAGGCCGGCATGGCGCTCGAAGATGGAGTGTGGCAAGTACTAGGACTGAACGTTTTGGGGAAGATATCTATACTCTTTGGTTCTTTCGGTAAAGTCACGTAGGTGAAAAAAATATAATTAAAATAAATAAATTAAATCACGACGTTTCGGGCGCAACACAAGCGCCCGTCATCAGGTGGGACAACCACAGCAAGAAACAATTGCTGAAATGGTCAAGAGAGCTGCTGCAAAACTAGAGGTTATATATGAGTTGGGGGGGGGGAGGCAGGGAGGGGAGGCAGAGGTGGGGGGGGATGGTGAGGCTGCTCGCGTACGGAGGAAAGGAGAACAAAGGGGGACGGGAGGGAGAACGGCAACTGCAGGAGTGGAGGTGGGGGCGGGGAAGCAAGCGGGGCTGGGAAGCTGATTTTCTGACAGATATTGCGATTGCGATTTGCGATTACATTTTTTTAAGTCAAGCTTCAGTTCAATATTCACTGTGTAATAGATTTAAAACATGTGATGGAGCATTACCACGTGATACTATCAAAATATGAACTGCTCTATATATGCTAATGCAAGGATGAGAACTTAAACGGTATGAATTGCTTCCAACGTGTATTTATTTAAATGTGTAATAGGGAATAAAACAATCAAAGATAGAACGATTGTTAAGTTAAATAAATAAAGTTATTAATATCAATTTTTTTTAACAATTCCAATAAAAAAGTAATAGGACTTTTCAAATCGCAAAAAATCTCAGCCTTCGCGATTTGCTAATCGCATTGTTTCAAATTGCGACTTCGATTTGAAATCGATTAATCATTCAGCCCTAGCAAGTACCACGCCTGGCCGGCCATTGCCTCCCCAGTGCGAATGTTTACGATGCCACACCAAGGAGGTTCAGGGGCAATTCGAATATCACTCGCTACGAATGTTAGCCGTGGCTGGGAATTGAACTCACATTGTTGGGTGCACAGTTCCGTTCCCCGGCCCACCCCGGCCACCGCCTTATTTGAAATGAGGACAATTGTTTATATGAAAGGAAAAATAAACAACGCATAATGGTAGATTAGAAGACGAACCTATTTTTCTTTGAAGTAAGTTTCCCTGCAGCATGTAAAGCACTTCAAAGCAAAGACACGAAAAATGCTGTAAAATGCATAATAATACCATTTCAAAGATGATAATGGTGGTGCACGGGTAGCTCTGGAAGCTATCATTTTGTATATAATCTCAAAGAAGTGAGCCAAGATCAGTAAAATCGTGGATATGAATCTGGTTTTCAGCCATCGGTGATTAACCTGGGTTCTGAAGTGTAGCCATTTGATGTTTCTTGGTCCAGTCACAAACTGCTGTCTTGATTTTAATTATTCTAGTTCTGAGATTTACACTTTCTGAGTTGACAGGCGTGCAGCGAACACTATTCCGGGCATGTAAAGGTATAGCCACAGTGCAGGATTATGTTAGTGACTCACAATTAGGTCTTTGCCATCATCTGTCTGGGTCATACTTTGACTCGTAGTTGTACACAGCTAGTTGTCAGAGTTTTGAACAGATAGTTATTGTATCATGATGATGACACTGATGATGACAGTACTAACAGTTATGATAATGTTCATAATAATTATGAAGACGTCAGTGATAATCACGCTGATGAAAATTATGATGAGACATATTATGATGCAACGATGATAATGATGTGTTTGATTGATGATGATGATGATGATGATTCAATGATGACTGTGATCAATTTGCTGATGATCATGACACTTATGATGATGATAATGATGATGCAAACAATAAAATGCTGCTATCTGATGCTGATGTTAATACAATTATGATATTGATAATTTTTTACAATGATGCCGCCGATGATGACAAAGAGGATTATGACAGTGATGATGATGATGATGACGACGACGATGATGATGCTAAGAACAACGATGATTATGATGACGACGACGATAATAACGATGGTGACATGCGGTGCCGATCTTTCGCCCCAAGGAGGGAGCTGTGCGCGGGACGGGGTGAACCGTGCGGGACCCTGGGTCTGTCGCACCTCTCGGGGATGTGCGTCCCGCAGCGCAGCTGCAACGTGAACCAGGACATGGGCCTGCCCCTCGTCTACACGGTGGCGCACGAGCTGGGGCACAAGTGAGAAACGCCGCGATCACCCACACGGTTCCACCGCGCCTCGACCTTGCACCACCGCATTTGCTTGCCGGGCTCAACCTACCACCCTCCGTCCTGCGCTCACCACCCGCCACTCATCGTCTTTACTTTGGTTTTCCAAAAGCACTCCAACCTCCTCCTGTCCTCTGTATGTCATCATTTGTATTCAACGTTGCCTTAAGGAACTGCGCCAAGTATACATACTCTGGTTTGTTTACAGTTGTGTTCCTCCAACAGAAATGTTAGATTGCAAAGTAATTTTTTTATAACTGCTTGTTTGTGTTTAGTTTGTTGTCCCCCGCCTCCCAGTACCCCCGATTAGCACGGTTGGCTACGTACGGCATGAAAGAAGGTCAACATACATACATTTGAAGTTCAACAACATACATCACCCAACATCATCCACCACTCACTGATGCTGGTGTTAGTGTTGTTGGTGATGCGAGTAACTCTGGTGGTGGTGGTGGTTATAGTGGTGGTGACTGCTGCTGCTAGTGGTTACAGTTGTGGAAGTTGTAGTGGTGGTGGTAGTAGTGGCGGTGCTTCTGGTGGCGGTGTTAGTTTAAGTGATCTTGTTGGTGTTGGTGGTGATTGTGATGATGATGATGATGCTGATATCGCAGATTCTGGCGGCGGTCGTGACAACTTTGATGCCGGTGGCCGTGTTTGATGCCATACCGATTCTGCCAGTAGCGGTCGGTGCTGATTCCGGTCTCGGTGACACTTGCTGGCGGTTGCAGTCGCAGGTGGCGGCAGCGGCACCGGCACCGTTTCCGGCGGTTGTTGCAGCTCGGATTCTGCTGCCAGTGCTAATATTGGTTGTGGGTGACTCGCCACCGTGGTCATGTCGGCGTGCAGCCTGGGCATGCGCCACGACGGGCAGGGCAACGATTGCGAGCCCGGGGCCCTGGGCCACCCGCTCGTCATGGCGCCGCACATCGTCTACGACTCGGCCTCCCTGGGCTGGTCGAGCTGCAGCCGGCAGTACATCACGCGATTCCTCGAGTGAGAGCCCATCCTCCTCCCCCATGCCGCAGCGCAGGGCCCACTTCTGTCTGCTCCGATCGTTCGAAGGATTTTAATCCTCGGTCGCTGGGCCGTTGAGATGTCACGTCTCTTTTCCAAGAGAGATCTGGGTGTATATGTATTTATGTATGTCTGTTGGACTTCTTTCGCACCGTACGTAGCCAACCGTGTCAATCGCAGGTTGCTGAGCGAAAGCCCAAAGGCCGAAAAATAACGAGCGAACGGCAACAAACGGTGCCGTGGAAGTTGCAATCGATAATTAGTGAATACCGTTTATGAATTGAGCGAGGTGCTAAGAATTCGGGGAAAGAGACGATGGGATGGAAGCATGGAGAGTCGAGCAGCGCGTGGAAAGAAGCAGAAAGAGAAGTGGTGCGACCTGCAGTGCGGTGGTTGAACACTGTGTGGGTGAGATGAAACAGTGAGTGTCTGGTAGACCGAGATCCCAACATGGGCATTGGAAATGCGGAAAGTTCATAGAAACGGTAACCGTGGTAGTAGCGATAAATAAGTCAGAAGGATGTGACTGACCACTGCTGAGTAATTGACCAGAGTGAATCAATGTGCAGTGCTGGATCATCAGTGAACTATACATTTTGAAGGACAAAGCATTTACTGTACGTTCGTACGGTCTGAGGCAGTGAAATCCAGCAGTTTATTAAACCTGAAACGGGGGGGGGGGGGTACGGTTTTCATCTTTTCATTTAAAACAGATGCCATAACGTCTCGCGTACGATCCGCCGTATCAAACTTCAAAGGAGACACAATTTCGTGAACGTGAACAGTCATTTCCAGTGGAATAAAAAGAGGTACAGGTTGTGTGAAGCAGCTTTGGCCGATTTTAAAGGCTACGTGCAACACCGATGACAATAGACAACTGCTGCAACGGCAATTTAGACAGCTGGCTGTTATGCCTCGAAGGTAATTGTCCTTGGACAAAAATAAACCGACTTGAATCGTTCCAAGTAAACCCAATCCACCGGTGCTGTGTTTGTAGATACTGACAGGGCCGACATGCTCGGAGAATAAACAGGTGGCACGGAAATGTTATGCAGCATCCCGAAGGACTTCACTTCATTTCCCCTCTCTGTCTCCCCGGTCCCAAAATAATGACCATTATAAAAGCACATTAGTGCTAATATTAGCATTGATACATTAGCAGAGTATTGCTCTGGGGCCTAATTAACCCGTCAACGCCCTCACATCTGCTTATCGGGCGAATGCCAAACCGCCACAGCGAGTGTGAAGCATAATATAGCGTGAACTGCCTTTGACCACATCACCCAGAATCCGCCCGATTCTTGTCAGATCTTGGAAGACCACCAGGGTTGAGCGTGGATAGCGTCTGGCATGGGGTGACCATCATCTACAAAAACAGTTCATTCGGCGATGCTGCTGGCAGTGGTGCACGAGCGCAATAAAAAAAAAACACTCGCCGCCAATAACACCTTACCACCTTAAAATAAAAAATATGTTTTGGTGACGCATTGGACAATGGCCATTCATCATGCCCACAACAGGTTCCCATAGGGCTGCGAGTCTACGTGGTGGGTAGCAGAAAGGCAGATCAGCAAAATTCATTGTTGTTCTGGACTATGTTCCGACATAAATGCTCCCCGCATTAACCATCCTGCATTCACCAGCGTGGTAAAGTACGGTGATGGGGAAGCCCTCGTCCAGCAGTGGATTGGTGCATATGTAGATGCACAACAGTCAGTGCTTAGTGCACCACACACAATCAAAAATCTCTCGCTGTTTCACGCCTCTGTCCGACACCAGCCGGGGATGGGGCCACTGCCTGAACGACTGGCAGAGCCACCACTTTGTCCCCACGGGGATGCCCATGGTGCCACCCGGAGTTCTCTACGATGCCAACCACCAGTGCCGCCTGCAGTACGGCACCACCTCGGCCCACTGCCCCAGGATGGGGGTGAGTTTCCGGCGCAGCGCCTCGCTAATCGGCGGGGGGCCTCCCGCTCTGGCGTCGCGCCGCAACGCCGCGCCAGCCAGGGCTTAAATTTGTTACCTAATGTTTCTAGGGTTTCTTCTATGTATACATGTATGTATACTCTTAGTTCTTTCGGTAAAGTCACGTAGGTAAAAGATGAAATTAAAATTAATAAAAAATAAAATAATAAAATCACGACGTTTCGGAGGCAACACAAGTCTCCGTCATCGGGTGGGACCGTCACAGCCAGATTTGCTGCATCACAAATCACGACGTATGGAAATACTTGATGCAGCAAATCTGGCTGTGACGGTCCCACCCGATGACGGAGACTTGTGTTGCCTCCGAAACGTCGTGATTTTATTATTTTATTTTTTATTAATTTTAATTTAATTTTTTACCTACGTGACTTTACCGAAAGAACTAAGAGTATGAATCCTTGCAGTCACGAAAGCTTCAAATCTAGAACATGTATGTATGTTGAATTTATTTCGCACTTTATGTAGCCAACTGCGCTAATCGAAGGTGCGGGGAGGAAGGACAACAAACTAAACACAGTTTATTAAGAAAAGAGTTTTCAATCTAGACTTAAAAGTGCTTATCTCCAGTGGCGTCCTAATATAGGAAGGAAGAGCATTCCAGACGGCCATTATGTATGTATGTTGAACTTCTTTTGCACCGTACGTAGCCAACCGCGCTGATTTGAGGTGCCGACTGCAGTAAGCATATGATTCGTAGCCAGAGCCACTAGTGGAGAGGGACATCGGACGTGGTGTGCACGGTATGGAAATATCTTCCTCGTAAGAAGATCCGGACGGACCTATCTGAAATTAATTCCAGAGTAGCGCCAACTTAACCTCCAGAACACTTATGTTTACACCTCACGTCTTCCTAACCTTTGACCTCCCACCTTGTGACCGTTTTCAAATAACACGTAACCCTCTTAATGCTTCTTACTCTCCGGCCCGGTGTTAATGCAACTGGTGCCCTAGATTGAGAAAGAGCACCCTTTGAAAGGGTGATTGCCCTATGCTATTAATATAATCTACCGAATAGCAGTGGCACAGTGGTTCTCACACTGCACTATAAAAACAAATGTTCTCAATGCCAATACATTTTTGGCGTCACCCCCTTCACTGACTTATGCTCTGGGTAGTTGTCAAAGTGTCCTACCCCCTAAGGACAGGCCTGCATACAATTTGACCATCTACCCTATATGGCTCTTGCTGTTTTCTCAGCTGTATTTCCAATTCCTGACATGTGTCACCAGCACGCTGCCAAAGCTGACATATCCGAAAGTGCTGACATTTAAACGTCTGATTTTCACACGCAGTGTGCATAATAAATATTTAAAGACGATTTGTGAGATTAAGTCCTTCCTTTCATTGTAATATGTGAAATTTAATTTATTGTTCTTGAACTCGAATAATTTTCTAATCAACCCACCAGGCTTACTCGTAGGCTCATTATTTTATATCCTTGACCAATGAGATCACTATTTTTTGGCTGCAAGGCGTTAGGAGATAATAATCCAATAACCGGGTTTGATGGCATGAATGGACTGCGTGACTGAGCTGGTCTCTTCTTGTTCCCCTATCAATGTGACAATGAGAAATGGCCCTTTTATCTCACGTGTGCTACAGCGATATAGGATTGCTGAGCGTTATATCTCTGTGTGAAAGTCCACCTAGGGCAGTGTGTGGTTGATGGGTATGTGACTGTTGTTTACACTCAATCACAAGAGCTTCGGGGGCTTTGTCCCAAATTTATATGGCCCAAATTTATATGGCCCTATATATTCACGCAGAGATCCTGAAGTGTTGCCATTTGCACTAACAAGCTTTTGAAAACGAACCATAAATGAACGCTTGTGGCTGTAATTGCTCTTTGGTTTCCCATTTATTTTATTTTCCCAGCCCCCAAAGTTTCGTTGTTTGTTTTTCCCTTTTCCAGTTCACCTCTCCAGAGCCTTCCACACACCCCTTTGGCTTTTTTTCCCCACGCCATCTCCTCCCTCTCCCTCTCTTCCCCCTGCCCCCGCCGACAGGATGTCTGCCGTGCGCTGTGGTGCGAAGTGGGAACCGCGTGCTACTCCAAGTACTGACGCCCCGGTGGACGGCACGTGGTGCGGCGACAACAAGGTGTGCGGCTGCCCTGCACGGCACCCAGAGATGCGCGACGCGGGTCCCCATAATCACATGACCGGCGCCGCCAAAGGCTGTGCGGCACAGTCCGAGTTCGATTCCCAGCCACAGTCAACATCAGTGGCGAGGGAAACCTGAACTGGTCCCAGACCAACACATTCACCAACGCATACTGACTGGCAAGGTGAAGTACGGTCAAACAAGCCCCATAGGGCGCCACGGTGGTGAGATGTTAACTACCTCGCTTGGTATACAGGAGGTTGTGGGTTCGATCCCGACCCTGACGCCTGTTGTCAATTTAGGGTTTCCATGTTATCCCTGTGGTCGTGTGGATTTTTATGCGGGTCTGGTTTTTCCCTCCACATTTAGAAACACGTGTTTCTAAATGTGGAGGGAATTTGGCTGCTATAAATTTCCAGACGATAAGCCACATCATTGAGCTTTTATTTGTGGCCAGGTCACTTCTGAAAAAGAGTGATATAGCTCAGTGGGCCTGACCTGGTGAAATAAGAAAATGCCTTAAAATAAATAGTTATGATCGACATTCAGTGGGGAGGCCTTCATCAAGCAGTGGATTAACAAGGGGCAGCAGTGCGAAAGCACAACCTGAGGCTGAACAATAGGGCAGTAAGATCAACACTTCATAATATGCAGGGGCATTTGTATTCACACCCTCAGTGTAACGCCACGTGAGTAGGACGAGACTCAAAATAGCGGACTTTGGAGGTCAAGTTGGTGTCGGCCGTGTAATTGCTGCTTCTGTCAAATTGTTTTGACAGAGGGAAGGAAGTGATCGCAAGGCACGGTGGCATGCATGACATTAGTCACGATGACCTCTGTAATTCGTATTTTAGGGCCTCTTCTGCCAAAAGGAGAAGCTGTCTCTGAATAGGAAGGGAGGATTGCTATTCTTAGGGAAGCACGGATCCCTAGGTTACTTTATCATTGCTGCCTCCTAACTGAAAATCGTACACTGTAGTAAGCTAGCATTTCAGCAATTGTTCCTCCAATTTAATTGATGCGCGTAGTGCAAAAGCAATCAAATCGTAAAGTTACTTACATTATACATTTGTCAGGAAAAAAATAATCGGTAGATATACATTTAGCATAATCCGCCTGCGTGCATCTCGTGTCCGTGGTGCAACCTTTCACGTGAACATTTCCGCTAGATTATTCGCATGGCTCATCCATTTTTTTGAAGCAATATTATTTACATGTGTAATGCGGGCGTAAATGGGCGGGGCGGATATGACGATCCGAGAGGGAGGAGTCAGGGTGACGTGGGGGAGAAGTTATAGTGGGGAGACAGGAAGCCATCTGGGGCAGTCGGGGGAGTGAAGGGTGGTGAACACGTTGGGTGGTCGCCGTGCCTCAGCCTGGTGGCTGAGGGGCTCATGACGGCGCCAGCCAGCGGGGTGGAAGAGAGAGTGGAGGATTGAGGTAGGAAGTGGCGAGATAGCCACAGAGGCCACGAAGGGCTGAGGTAGGAAATGGCGAGATAGCCACAGAGGCCACGAAGGGCTGAGGTAGGAAATGGCGAGATAGCCATAGAGGCCACGAAGGGCTGACATTGGGAGGTGGCGAGATCGCCACGCACGGAGGAACAGGGAGCAGAGATGGAGCTGCTGTGGGAGCAGCCAGAGGGCTGCACCAAGAGCCTGCAGCGGAGCTGCAGGAGCGTGGAAGGCTACGGGAGCGAAGGCAGATGTGGGGCTGCCAGGGAGAGAGTCTCAGGAGGAGTGCCGTGTGGGAAGGAGAACGCGAACCCCAAATAAAGGACACGGAGTCAGCAAGAAGTGTCTGAGTCCTTTTATTACACATGGAAACATTCAATTAAAAACTCACTTCCCAACCGAAACACTCAGTTGTTCCTGAATCAACGCCCGTTAATATACAGTGTTATAAGCCAATGAGATATTACAGAACAGTTTATGTCTTTCCACTCTCACCACCACTCCAACTCTCAATGTACATCCATATGTGTGTGGTTGCGTGGGTGTGTTGGTCCATGTGTGTGTGTGCATGTGTGCTTGTGGGGAGCGGTGGTGTAGTGGTTAGCGAACTGCGTTCTATTCCCGCTCACAGCCAGCATCGGTGACAAATAACTAAACCGATCCGGGCCTCCCCTAGGTCAACTCAGACTTAAAATGAGTACCTGGTGCGGTTAGTAAACATCATTGGGGAGTCAAAGCCAGCCCGGCGTGGCGCTGGATACCCACCCGCTCGCGTGCCAATACCAGCCTTAATAGTTGCTACACGCTACCAGCACCTGCCCCCCAACAGTGTCAAACGTGATACATGATACGGGGGGGATATTTGCCTTTGTGCGATGCCAGTGGTGCGTGGGAGGAGAGTGCGTGGCGGCGGGGACGTGGCCCATCCACGTGCGCGGCGCGTGGGGTCCCTGGAGCTCCTGGTCGGTGTGCTCGCGAACGTGCGGCGCCGGCGCCCAGAGCATGGAGCGGCATTGCAACAACCCCACGTGAGATTTGCTCCTCACCCCCCCCCCCACCTCACATCCCCCCCGTCCACCCACCCACCTCCCCCAACTCCCCCGATTCCATCAGCTTCCGGCGGCAGTCAGTGACCACAGAGATTTACACCATTGGAACCTCATTTGCCAGTAAAAAATTATGATAATTAGTTTTTTAGCCTTCTATCTGGCGCCTTTTGGCGTCATCTGGTCCAACCCATGTGAGACTAGGCTCTAAGGAAAGCTGTCTCGGGTGTGGACCAATCAACTTCAAGGACAGTGCATTATGAATACAGGTATTGTGGTCTATGCAAACATGACTCCTTGTAAAAAAAGGTGTCAGTTTTGTTGCCAGATAGAAGGGTAAAAAACAATTATCACCACAGAGATGTCGCGAAGCAAGACGACAGAGTTAGTGCATGCCACACACGGCGAGGTTTGTTGGGTGCCTGGCTGATTGTTGACTCCGAACGCTCCTTATCCCCTCACCAATGGAGCCGATTTCGTTTGTCGATTTTTGTTTTTGTCCCGATCGCTTTACCACATTGCTGTAATTTAGTTTTTTGTAATTTTGGCGGTCAAGATCACTCTTGCAAATGAGACTCCTCTCCCGGTCTCTTGAGTTCTCACCTGGTTACACGAATTGAACTTGAAACTTGATTACGTCCCTCTCTTGAACGTGCATTTGTATCAATTGAAGGGGCCACACTGAATGTCAATGTTGGCGGAATTTTCACTGAAGCCTGCGGCCGTTTGTCTCTCAGTTGCAGAATTGTGGCTTTGGACAAAAAAAAAACAACACGATGTTATTTACTGTCAGAATGTGGATAAACACGTTGTAGTGATTTTTGAAATTAATTACTTCCATGAAAGTGATGAATACATGAAATGCCACTGGGCGACCGAAATAGACCAGCTAAATTCAGGCGTGAAACTTTGTCAATGCGTCACGGGGGTAATTTTCTCCTTCTGGCTGCTTGTTGCTGACAACAGGCAATTTTGATTCTTTGGGCCTGTGCTCAGCAACCGTGATAAAAAAAAAAGTTAATAAAAATAAAAAAACACACAGTGACGTGTTCCACCGCAGCGGCGACGTTTGACGGCATCGGTGTCAGTGGCGGGGGGGTCGTAAATGCGACGTGCGGGTGCCGTGTGCCACGCAGCCCGCGATTCGGAGGAGAATACTGCACGGGCGACTGGCGCCGGTACCGCGTGTGCAACACCGAGGCCTGCCCCCTCAACGGCACCTCCTTCCGCCAGCTGCAATGCAGCGAGTTCGACAAGGTTCCCTACAGGCGGCAGATGTACACCTGGCTGTCCGTGCCGTACCCCGGTATGTTGATGGCGTGACGGTCTCCCGACAACTTGGAGCTGCGCATTTTTAAATCTGGTACTACTCTTCGTGTTTAGTTCGTCGTCCTTCTTCCCCCTCCCGCACCTCCGGTTAGCACGAGTGTCTACGTATGGCGCGAAAGAAGTTCAAATTTTCTTGCTGTGGATTTCACACCTGATGACGATTGCTTGTGTTGCAGTCGAAACGTCGCGAGAATTTTTATTGTTTTATATTATTTTATTTCTCTTCTACGTGACTTTACCGAAAGAACCAAGAATATAAGTTCAACATATGTACATACATCTCTGCCAATGAACTGCACGTGGCAGTTTTTTTCTTTTCTTCCAAAAAAGTTCGCCAAGCCGAGATTCGTCATTTACGTTTCACACTTTGGTTCCATCTGGTCTCATGCAGTCTGTTCACGTGCATTTTAAATAATTGAATACCTCAGGTGAGATTTGCTGGAACTGAACGATGTAGAGTTTGAGTAAAGAATAAGTGATTTCACGCGATGCTCATCTTTTGTTAACACCTTTAACCCAGCGCTGGAAATTCCATATTCCCATGGTGGGGGGGGGGGGGGGCATTTATTCCATATAACAACCGCTGTTGACTTCCTCATAAAGTGGTCATTTTTTTATTGGCTCCAGAGAGATGACGAAGGGATGAGTTATTCCACTACCCCGAGATTTTAACTCAAAATTTCCCGAGCGCGAGCTACACACGCTACCGCTTCACCACTTGTTCGAAATGTGGAGTAAGATAATACAAAAAAAAACAGTCAGCACATTTCCAATTTATATCCTTCTTGAGTTTCCCCATCCTTGATTCAGCCAATTCTACGGTCGCACTTCAAATAATCGGCTTATTTAAATTGTACATTTACCACGTTTTATTTTTTAATGCATAAAGTTTCGTGGCTAACAGCGGAAAGAGCCGCGAAATGCGACATTCATGCAATGTTCCTTCCAATCGTTGGCACGGAGTCACGTTGAATTGCGTTGAGAAACGATTATTGGCGAAGCTTTGGCAGTGATAGGATGCGCCCACCAGCTTCCCGTCAGCCAGTGATGGATAAAACTACGGACGTCCTTGATTTAAAGCCATTATGGGACCCTCCTTTTCAGCTCAGGCTCCCTTAAAAAGTATTTATGATTGAACAGGAATCAGTTCGTCGAGTTGTAACGTAGTAACTTGTGCACAGTCGTTAAGCAATCTAAAATTGCAAAGTCAGTTTCGCAAATGACGAAATCTCGTATTCATAAGTTCAAAATCATTCGACCAGTATATACGGGGTATAATTTCGAAGATAATGATAGTTTGAGAGGAATTTGGCTTATTTATGAATTATGTCAATGGTTTGACACGTACATGAAACTGAATGTACGATCCCTATCACATCGGGGATGAAAAATGTCATCTTCTCAGTACGTTCTGCACCACTGTATCTTCTGAGAATTTCTCCTTTATTTTCGAAAGGTGAACAGAATGTGAATCGCATTGACAATTGGTTGGCATACTATACCCACGTAAAATTCCACCTTATGATTATACCAAAATTGCGGAAGTACCACGAGGAAAAATAGACAGTTTTCCCCTAGGCAAAAGAAGTAAAGCATACAATTGCTGGGCATACTCTTAGTTCTTTCAGTAAAGTCACGTAAGTAAAAAATGAAATAAAAATTAATAAAAATAAAAACAATAAAATCACGACGTTTCGGAGGCAACACGAGCTTCCGTCTTCAGGTGAAACTGTCACAGCTTGTGTTGCCTCCGAAACGTCGTGATTTTATTGTTTTTATTTTTTATTAATTTAAATTTCATTTTTTACCTACGTGACTTTACCGAAAGAACTAAGAGTATGAATCCTTGCAGTCACGAAAGCTTCAAATCTAGAATTACTGGGCATTGGAATAATTGAGATGAGATGTCACGTGAGACGCTTTGTATTTTTGGGGCATCTAAGTGCATGATAAATTAAAATCCTTATCCTTTATTCTAATGTTGACTAAACTAAAAAAAAAATCTTATCTTACCAGGTAAGGCCCACTGAGCTATATAACTCTTTCTCAGACGTGACTTGGCCACAAATGATAGCTCAACAGAAGCAGCTTATCATGTGGACATTTATAACAGCCAAATACTCTAAATGCATGTTTCTAAATGTGGAGAGAAACATTCGAGGACCCAGAGAAAAATCCACACGACCACGGGGAGAAGATGCAAACTTTAAATATTCAGGCGTCAGGGTCGGGATTAAACCCACGACCTCCTGAAAACCAGGCAAGGTAGTTAACATCTCGCCTCAGCCACAGTGCCATGCAACCCAAACTTTGGACCACATAGTAAACCGCTGTCAGCTGCGCTCTTTCAACAGACGAGGAATAGCAAAACGACACACACTCTCTCTTGACCCCGACATTTGGCATTCATCTCCCGAACACATTGCTGCCACACACTCATAGAGTAATGGAATAGAATTCCTCGGCGAGCGTGTGAGTGGGACGGTGCCACGAGCTGCGTTAGTAGTCGTAGCCATCGTTCACCCACCTATCACCGGTGCTTAGACACCAGTTGACCTTGGCGAAAACAAATGCAAAAAGGTGGTGGACTCCGTTGGTTTCAGGTCAGGCTTGAAATATCCCCCGTCGCTGTGCGCAAAGTGGAGCCCCTTGATCCCCTTGTTCCCCGTGTTCCCTGCCGACCGTTTCCATGGCGAGCAGATAACCCCTGCGAGCTGCACTGCCGCCCCAAGGATGGCCGCTTTTCAGAGCGGCTGAGAGACTCGGCTGCCGACGGCACGCCGTGCGGCCTGCCCTCGGAAGGCCTGAGCATCTGCATAAACGGTATCTGTAAGGTATCGCCACGTCCGCAACCGTCTGTCCTCACTCTCTCGCTGTTGTTAAGATATAAAAATAATGTTTTTTTTTTACTTTCACGTTCCAAATATCGATTCCTCGGTTTGCGTGCATCGCTTTGCGTTTTTATACGCGTGGCGAATGTCCTCTCCGAAGTAGGACATCATGGTGCTGCTCTGTGCCACCGAAGTGGACGCTGATAATGTCGTAGTCCGGTGGTATAGGGGGGGGGGGGAAGGGAAAAACAAAATTAAAACACCTCCGTTGGTCTCATCGCACAATAAATATATTTTATTAGCCTGGCAGCCAATTGGTCTTCCAGACCAATGTGGTCCGGCAGCATTTGTTTAAAGTATGCACACCATGGATTGGTTGTCAAACTTATGATGAGCAGAGCCATTCTCGTGACACACACACTGCCGCATTGCGGCTGTTGTCGGTGAGAGCACTCCTCTAACTGTGCAGGGTGTCACATCCAGGCAGTATGTCTCCTCTAGATTCCTTCCACATGCAAAACTATTTAAGAAAACATTTATTCAAGCACGACCCTCCTGAAACGGTTTTGACATCCATTCATGCATTTTGGGGTAAACATCGGTCCAGAAGACCCATTGGCTGATGGACTAGAATGGAGTATTTTTTTTACGCAGCGAGACAGATTTTAGTCACTTGTTGCCCACACTGGAGGGCAGCGGCACCATCGTGGTTCGTGCCAAGCGCAGCTCCAACTCCTGTTATAGTAGCTGTTGTGTGTGAGCTACCAGTAGCAGTGATATACCACCAAGGAGATTGAACTTGGGTTGCCCAAAGGGACACTTTAGGTGATGCAGGACCCATCCCAGCAGCCCTCTAGTGCCAGTCCTGCTCAGCACGCTGCGCCATGAACCTGGCTATCTGAGTTTGATTTCCTGCCACGGCCAACATCAGTGGCACAGTGACATTTAAACCGGTCCTGGGCCTCCTCCCCACCTTTACTGACCCGCACTGACCAGAATGGTGAATTACGGTCAAAACAACCTCTAAGACCGAGAGGGCCTGGGGAGGCATACATCCAGCAGTAGATAAACAAGCGGCTGTGTATTATCACAACAGGACCCACACTGCTCCGCAGCAGCATAATGCGTGTTTTTTCCTGGGTAAACAGAGATACACTATCTATACACTATCTGGCGGTTGCAAATGAGCTCCGCTCTCTTTGCCTGTCCGATTGCCGTTGCCACTGACGTGTAATTGCAGGCTTTTGGGCCGTGTTGACTTCATGTGTATGCTCAGTGATCGTCAATATTCCCGGCGTTTAAGGAACAAGCGTTCATTTGGCACAATTTGACCAGTTAAACTGCAATAACGTGCGTGCCATTCAATGCAACACAAGAACATCCGTAGACTGTATCAAGAAGGTTCTGAGATTATAGTCAGGACCATGAGGTCATCTGCATGGTATTTTGTGTTGTGCAAATACTCGTTATAAGTGCAGCGCCAACTCGTGCTCATTCTTCGTAGCATCATTCGTCAAGGATGTTTCCTTTCATCACGTGTGTATGATAATCATTACAATAATTTTGATTGGCACAATAATATTAAAGCAAGTGTATGCCATGTCCGTCGTTGACAAATCGCACCAGTTCGTTTTGCAACACCGGAAGACGGAATCTCGGGAATTATTAATTCACACAATATCCAGCGGCTGCCCACACTGAAAACTAGAAAGGGTCTCCGTGCACAAATGAGCAGCATGGTGACAATAGTCATTCGTCTCTCCCCAGGACGACCACGGTTGACTTTCCACAGGGTGGTAATCTGGTTTTTTTTTCTATCAATCTTGAAGGCACTATGGGACGAATCAACCCTTGACTATGTTGAAATTCACCCTCATGATGCATTTAATACAATGACGCACGCTATGCATATGCCTCCTCCTCCTCCTCATAAGATGCACGAGCAACCTGTGATGAGGTGCCGCAGGGATTGAGATCTGCTCGGCAAATCCGTTTTTGCCCTTGCACTTAACACCCACGCGAGCCGCGCACACGCAAAGGCTCTACTCAGTATAATATGCTGATTATTTTCTGCACATTTTAATTTAGTTTTTCACACAAGCCCCGTTTTTGTAACGAAGGATAAACGACACGTAATGCTGTTAACGCACGGAGTGATGGTGTTTTGGTTCATGCACTACACCATACAGCCGTCGGAGATTAATTTCCAGGCACGGCTTACATCAGTGGCAAGTGATATCTCAACAGGTCTTGGGTCACCCTTTCACCAACCACCGCCGTTTAGCTTAGGTTTAGTATAGCTCAACAACCCCCCAGCGGTGGATTGATTGAGAGCTTTAAATTACAGCTTGTATTATTGTTGTAATAACAGGCCATCGGTTTTTACATGGTGTCATCACACGATGTAATTGCGATCTGAAAAGGTGGCGCTTGTGTTTTATAAGGTGACGCGCAATGAAAATGTAGGGGAAAATTATCGGTCAATTGGTTGCAAAATAACATCAATTCACCTATCTTCTTGCCACAAATGTGTTGGTTAAATCTTTCGCTTTGAGTGCCGGTCAATTCAATGCAAAATAAATAATTGTCTGCCCGTATTACTCTTCAAATAAGACGTCAAGGGGTGAGAAATCAAATGAGTGTTTTTTTCTTTTTTTCCTGCCTGTAGAAGCTGGGATGTGACTTTGTGATCAGCTCCCTGGCCACGGAAGACCGCTGTGGCGTCTGCAAAGGCGATAATTCCACCTGCAGAACCATCTCGCGAAACTTTGATCTACAGGAGGGATTTGGTAAGCCTCAACTCTTTATCCGTTATTCGTGGGGCTTTCGTATATCTCACGGTTAATGGCCACCTGTGAACGACGTCAGCATTAATTCTGTTTTGGCAGTTAACGATTTTGATTATGCATTTTTTTTTATGTGATTTGTTTTCGTTCATCTATTGGTGCAAATCTTACCGGGAGTTCGATAAACGATGCTTGGCTTGTACTAATTTCCCGGAAACATCTCTGAAATTGACTCTGCATCCCGCAAAGCTCTCGGCTAGATGTAAAAAGATTTAAAACCTTAACTTCAAATCGTTAAATATTGTATATATATAATGTACACTATTCAATACAGTATCAAGTCACAATGAAAATAAATGTGTTTTTTTAAAAGTACTTTTTACATTTCATCAGAAAGCAGAGGGCACAAACACTTACAGAAAATTGACCTCAACACAGCCATGAATCAATAGACAGTTAAGATCAATGCCAGGCATCAGAAAATATAAATTGGCCGTGAAAGTGGTCTGAAGTTCTCTTTATTAGTGGTGCAGCACTAAATCATTGTAAGCAACCCTGAGCCACCGGTGAATGAGTGGAGGCAAGTGGAGCCCTTGGAATAAACGATCAGTCTTGAAGCCGGGAAGGATCGTGGGAGGAGACCTTGCCGAACGAATGAGCCTATTCAAGGCCCCCGAATAAATGGTGAATACAACTGTAGTTTCGCCGGAATGCGTTTTTATTTTACAGCAGTAGACTCTGTTAACTTTAAGTGTGAGCAAAAATGAGTGAGTCACCATTATGCCGCACTTCTTCTTGAAAAGCCACTCACGGCAGCACTACAATGCCACGTATCCTTCACACATTTTCCAATACACCCTCGGCTGCCGGTCATGCAAAATTTCTCACGTATTGCGTTTTAACCACTCACCACATGCGCACGCTTCTCATAATCTGTGCCCAGGTTGATACTTTTTTTTTAATGAAAGAGCCGTGATTTGAGACACGGATTAAGATCAGACATATAAATTCATAACGAAAACTGTAATAGAAGATGATTATATGCAGTCAGCAGAACCTGCTAGGAAATAAGGGTCAGCTGAGTGCTCAAGGTGGGTTGTATCACGTGATGAATTCAGTAAGATATGCAGTTGCAAGTCCATGGGATGCCTTAAATATAATCATGACAATCACAATAATGCCCTTTGTCTATACCGGAAGGCCTCACTGAGTCTGAAAAACTCTTTCAGGAGGCTCGTTAATGAGTCTTTCGGAATGGGGGAGAAAAGCAGAGCACCTCGAGAAAGCCCACACGTATGAAGGAATAACGAAGTGCTGCACAGATAGATTTAAGAATCAATTTCGTTTATTGACACCACCTGGCAAATTTGGAGCCCCAAGCCTACAACAAACTGGTTATCCCCAGGCAGCCTACGACCCAAGACTTGGCTTCTGAAATCTGACAAGATTCAGAATAATTTTGCTCTGGGTCTCGGCTCTCAGGATATGCAATGTACAATCATGATGTACAAGGCCCTTCCTGTTTCCTATGCAATTAAAGTAGAGGAAGAGCTTGTCAAATTACACAGTTGACGTCGTGCTATTGCATGCACATATTTCCCGCTTAATTCACGTAAACAGGTTATCCGTCAACTGGGTACATAGTTCATGTTTTTGTCGCAGACGCTAGCTGATGTCACGTAACACAAGAGTAAAAAAGAAAATGCTTCACCGAGCTCACCGCCCTGATATTGACACTTCTTGATTTTGCAATCCAAATGGAGTAGAAAGAAAATGTGAAAGCGAACGTGATATAAATAGGCACCACAACTAGCCGTGGAGAAATTATATATTTTTTTTTATCTCCTGCGAAAGAAAATGTGGCTGAAAAAGACGCGAACCAGTGCCCTAATTAACAAACATTTATGTCCCTTCCATCAGATGGCCGTTGCTTTAAAATGTAGTTAAAATGGAAATGAAATATGGTAAATGTGTCGTCCATTATCATTTGGGGGTTCAGAGGTAGGTTTTTTTTTCCCTTTTCAGCAGTGGGATATCTGCATTTACGAAGGTCAAGCATAAATTGTCTGAAATGCTAAACACCGGTAGCACATGTTCCCCAAGCTAATGGGATGGAAAGCCTTTGCTGAGCATGCTTGCCAATGGGCAGGTGTTCTTCGGGTCGACGGTTCATCTGTCATCATGGCCGTTTGGTAATTCTGCAGGGAAACACCAAAGCGAGCCTTGGTTTCATGGATGTTAAAGACCGTCAGCGGGTGTGATTTTACAAGTCAAATCGGAACTTTGAAAAATCACCCGCAAATGTTTGTTCTTATCAATTTAACAACCACCACCTTCAAAATTGAGCTACTTTAGCTCAATTGGCTCTCATACAGTTAAACCCATTTTTTTTGTGGGACGGAGCGGTGGCACGGTAGTTAGCGCATTGTACTCTCAATCTGAGTTAGATTCCTTGCCACGGATAATATCCATGGGGATATCTGCATTGTCCTTCGCCCCCCTGCCCCCAGCCCCCCACTTCTTACCCCTGCCCCTCACTTCTTACCCATGAAAAAGCACTTGTATTCTCACTTACATTTTCCAGGTTTCTGGTAGACTGGAGTAGGTGGCGGCACTCCGGTTCGCACGGTTGGCTATGTACTGTGCAAAAGAAGTTCAACATGCATACCGTACATACGTGACGAGTAGCCACAGCCATAGCAAGATAGTATACTGGATGTGGTGTGCTGTGTGCAAAACATATTTTCGGGGTTGCTGGTAAAATGGTGTAAGCATAAATGTGTCGTTAAACCCGCCACCACCCGACAGCCAATCAGTAGTTTGTCACATAAACAAAACGTGTCAATTAGTTACTACTTCAGAGGGTAAAACCACAACATTTGCAATTCCAGTACGACGTTCCACTGGTGACTACATCCAGCTTTACGTGATCTAAACCAAAAAAACTTTATTATGAATAATATTGGTCACGAAAGCCTACTACGTGTTGAACTGTTGTAGGCACGTGACTAGTAGCCATAGCCAAAGCGAGAGGAAAACTGGATGTGGCGCGCTGGTTGTGGATATAGTGTCTGGGCCGCTCACCGTTGCAAAGTGCTTGTCACAAATGAACCACAGTACCCTGCTGATCTCGTCAAGGAGCATAATCCATCACGCGAACTCCGGTCATTCTCACAGCGGCTTCTGGCAAGCCATTGAACATAGACGGCAGCCGTCTGCTTTTCGTGTTTAATTTGTTGTCATTCCCCCGCAACTCCAATTAGCACGTTTGGCTACATACGGTGCAAAAGAAGTTCAACACACGTACGTGTGTGGTCACAATGACGGACACGGCTCTGCTCTACCCCCTCGCCGCCGCTGCAGGGTACGTGGACGTAGGGCCTCATTCCCGTGGGCGCGCACGACGTGCTGGTGGAGGAGCTAGCCGAGGCCGGCAACTTCCTGGCACTGCGAACCGCCGAGGGCGGGCGGCCGCTGCTTAACGCTGGCTGGGTCATCCAGTGGAGTGGCGTCTACCCGCTGGCCGGAACCACCTTCACGTACCAGCGGCATCAGAACCACGAGAGGCTGAGCGCGCCGGGACCGACGCAAGAGCGCATCTGGATACAGGTGGGTGGAAGCAATTTGTCTCTCTGGCGTACCGTAAAACATGACCACTTCTCCTAAATATAACCTGACATTATCTCCCAACCTGTGTCACCTATTTGGGAACAAAAGATCTCCCGACTATTCTTTTTTCTTTGTCGATGTGTTTTCGTCCCGATCGTTCGCAATCCGTGAAAATCCTCCCACGCCCCTCCCTCCTACTGGCTCGTCTGACTGGCCAAATGGCAAACCGCGCCAGCTCCTGTACCAGGCGAGGAACCCCGGCGTTCGCTTCCAGTACACAGTAAACAGCCCGTGGGCAGTGCGCGGCGGAGGCGCTGCGGGAGCCTCAAATTCGCGTCCAAGCTTCTCCTGGCTCTACGGCTCCTGGACCGAATGCTCAAGCACCTGTGGATCAGGTAATGTGCGACGCAATGCAATCAAATCGGGGAAAGGGTTGCAGCCGTGCACATTTCTTTTTTACGCACTGAAAACTATCTTTTTTTATTTTACCAGGTGAGACCCACTCTTTTTTTTCAGATGCAACCTGGCCACAAATGATAGCTCAACAAAATGACTTATCATGTGGAAATTTAGAGCAGTCAAATACTCTAAATCAGGGGGTCCCCAACCCCCAGGCCGTGGACCGGTACTGGTCCGTGGCCTGTTAGGAACCGGGCCGCACAGCAGGAGGTGAGAGCGGTGAGTCTGTGAGTGGCCCGCCCCCATTATTTTATTATTGACCACTTCCATCCGCGCCTCTTTCCCGCACTGCGCACTTGTCACAGTCACAGTGTTGGTGACCCCACAAGCTGCTAACCCCTAGTAGCCACAATGAGTAAAAAACAAACGTCGCTGGAGAGCTTCTTTGAAAAGGGGAAAAGACCCAATGATGAACCCTCCCCCCGGTCCATGATAAAATTGGCTTCCACGAAACGGGTCCCTGGTGCCAAAAAGGTTGGGGACCGCTACTCTAGATGCATGCTGATTCTAAATGTGGAGGGAAAAACCGGAGGAAGCAAAGAAAAATCCACGCGACCACGGGGATAGAGAACATGCAAACTCCAGACATATAGGCGTCAGGGTCAGGATCGAACCCACGATTTCCTGTATACTAGGCGAGGTAGTTAGCATCCCATAACGCCACTGCTGGCAGAAGGTTATTTTCCACAGGCAGTTATAGAGGAGCCACACTTTAGCCCACCACACATGACCTGCCAATCGGCCGACTTTTGGTGGTGAACCTATTTATACTGCAGGTACCACTTGATACAGTAAATCTAGCTGTGACGGTCCCACCTGATGACTTGTGTTGCCTCCGAAACGTCGTGATTTATTATTTTAATTATTTCTATTATTACTTTTTATTAATTTCAATTTTATTTTTTTACCTATGGGACTTTACCGAAAAAACCTAAGAGTATGAATCCTTGCAGTCACGAAAGCTTCAAATCTAGATAGGTACAAGGATATCGAATTAAAGTAGGATTTTCGGTATTGCAAGTCCAGCGTGTGCTAACCATTGCACCACAACAGCATCTGTTCCAGAAGATCGCGACCAAATCATCCAAATAATTTATCAAACGCTGTTGTTGAGCTAAAACATGATGCATGGGAGGATTTTGTCCTTTTGCGCGTTTATTAATAATAATTATTGCATTTATATAGCGCTTTTCATTGAGGGTCTCAAAGTGCTGTACAGGACACAGCAGCAGCAGCAGACACTCAGCATAAAAATAAATATATGTTAAGTATCATTTACTAAATGAACTAAAAGTTGAACAAGCGGAAGCGTATAAATAGGTTTTAAGACGCAAAAATATCCACCGACTCAGAGATCCCTCTGATATCTCGTAGAAGAGCGTTCCATAGCCTGGGGGCTACAAAAGGGGAGCATTTTGGTCACCCTGAGACTGAAACCTCGACCTGGGAATGCAGATCTTAGGGACCTTGAGGGGACACGTGGGTGCAGCATGTCAATGATGTAGGCTGGGGCAAGATGATTTACTGCTTTGTTAGTTAACAATAGGATTTTAAACTGTATTCTATGTGAAACTGGAAGCCAGTGCAGGGAGGCCAATACGGATGTAATATGATGTGAAGAAGGTGCTGCGAATTGGTTGTTGATTGATGTCTTTATTTAACCCTAGCCAAGGGGGGAAGCCCGTTTACTTTCATAAATTTTTTTAACAATATAGTATTGGTTATTCAGAGTAACATAGCATGCTTTAATAATGGAACCTTTTTAAATGCGCAAAATCTTGTTAAAATTTGAAGGTGGGCTAAGACGCCAGCAAACTGTGTTCTAATCTATCTTGTGAATTACGTCCCCAGCATGTTAACAGCCACTCTTCAGCAACTGCTGATCATTGTTAATCCCTTGGAAAATGACTGGGTAGCAGCAGGGATTGAATTACCTTCAAACATTGCTGATCATGGCAACAGCTGGGATATATTTGCCCCTTTCATTGTTTTAGTTCCAAGAAAAGACCTGTCACAAATTTATGAAGCTTATAGCACCCATCTGTGAGTTGCAGATGTGATTGGGTTTTTTATCCATAAATCTGACCAATTTCTTATCTCTAATCTTCGAGAATAGTGTGTAATTTTGTTTATTGCTGCGAGATTCTTCACAGGTGTCTCTTATTTCTCATTTAAAAAAAACCTGTGGATTAGAATTCCGTTGAATAATGTTGCACAGAAGTGTTTGGACAAATGCAGTTAGCGAGTGCGTGTTAAGACGACCAGTATGTCACATACTGGGGGGGGCGCCGTGGTGGGGGGGGGGAGGCAGCATTGGGCAATCACCGTGTTTGTCTGGCTACGTTTGTCTCTCTGTTGCTGATGCTGGCAAACCACTCCCTGGTACTTACTTTAAACTGAGTAAATCTAGGGGAGGCGCAGACCACTTTCCGATAACAACTGCCACTCTCGTCGCAATTGGCCACGCACTGAACCGTGTTCGAAACGGAATCCTTGCGCTACACACGGACCACTTTGCAACACCCATCACTGCCTGTACACAAACAGGGCTTGGGAACAACAAGATGAATCAGCCAGATCATTTGGTGAAAGGTTTAAGTTTGTTGTTGCTACGTTTGTCTTGTTCGCATGCCATACATATCATAAGCCTTCAAAAGGCACGTCATTAAATAAATTATAACGCTATTTATAACGTGCACAATATTTGACGGACATGAATGACCATGACTCTGGTGGTGTGGTCTCGGAGGAATTCTCCGCTATAACATACATGCAAACATACATACATATAGATTAGCCGATTATTATGTAGATGTAAAGTGGCTGCGGGCCTCATCATTAGGTTCCCAACGGGGGGGGGGGGCTCCAAGTTCTTCTGCATTTGACCTTGATATCATTCAATTATAGATGCAAATTCTCTACGGCTAAAAACATAATTTTGGGGAGGGTGCAAGAGTTGGCCAACTGAGCTACGAATCCGACGGGCTGAGTTCGATTCCCGACAGTGGCAGGTGATATCTGAACATGTTCTGGGCCTTTCTGCCCCCCTCCCCTTTACCAGCTTGCACCGACCGGCGTAGTGAAGTACTTTCAAAACAACCCCCACGATTGAAACGACACGGGGAGGCCTAACATCCAGCAGCGGATGAACAAACGGCCGTGTGTTATCACACAATGCGACCCACATCATTCCGCAAAAACAACCGAACACGTGTGTTTTCCTTGGCAAACCGATAACGCGTCTGGGGTTGCAAACGAGCCCACGGGTAAATAGCAGGCCGCTGGCTGTGTACGCTTGATCAAGCGACGTCGATGACCACCACGGCATGGGGTGGGCCTTCATCTTGCATCAGATTGACGACAAAGGGTCGCAAATTGTCCTTTTCTAATTGTACACGAGGAGGTTCACCCCCCAACTTGCCTTTCCTCACTGCATTGTCACCCCATCAACTTTAAACACCACTTTGATGTCGAATTTTAAGACCCGAGATCCATGAAACTCAAATGCATAATTGATAACCGGCTTCTTCCAGCACATATTTATTTTACCAGGTCAGGCCCACTGAGCTGTATAGCTCTTTTTTTTAGAAACAACCTGGCCACAAATGATAGCTCAACCAAGTGGCTCATCGTCATGTGGAGATTTATAGCAGCCTAATACTCTAAAGGCGTGATGTTGATTATAAATGTGGAGGGAAAACCCGAAGAACCCAGAGAAAAATCCACGTGACCACGGGGAGAGAGAGAAAACACGCAAAATCCAAATATACAGCAGCAGGCGTCAGGGTTGGGGTCGGGATCGAACCCACGACTTCCTGCAAACCAGGCGAGGCAGTTAACATCTCGCCACTGCGGCGCCCTGTATATTTTTAACGGCTTTGGGTGTTCTCATACATGGTGCAGCACCCACGCTGCTTCCTTCTCTCTTTCCTCTCACGTTTCTAATTCGCGCGACACCCTGCGTGGTGGCTTCGCAGCGAGCAGTGGCAGCTCGCCATTTAGGGGTCGGAGAGGCTGGCGTCCCAAAAACACAAAACACAACAAAAGGAAAAACCCTTTAAAAAACTGTACGCTATTCACCTGCTCATTATACTGTACACTTTACACACTCCCACGCTTTCCCCCACCTCCCCCCGCCCGTGGGCATCCGTGGATCACCCTCCCTACTGCCACTGGAGGTAAGGCCATGTCCCATCGCTTAGAGGATAGACCACCATCACTCTTTAGCCGTCTTCTAGCTCACATTACCTTGCCTGTCAAGAGCGTTAGGGGGTTATTGATATATGCTTAGCGAGTACAGGGATAGAGAATTCCAAAAAGACAGGGGCATGGTATTGAGCTAAAAGGGTTTTTTTTCTCTCTTTTTGTTTCTTTGTTGTTTTTTGCCCCGGTGGCTTGCGGGAGAATTCCGCTCCGAATGTTTTTTTTTCCATGGTTCTTAGTCTCTTTGGCCACAAAAAAATCAACGATTTGTCATCCCGCCCCGACACCAAACCAGACAGCAAGCAGACAGGCGATGTATAATGTATTTGCGACTGAAATGGTGGAAAGTTTTCTCGCGTATAATTACAATTTGCAAACAATGTTATTGAAATGTTCATAATAACGTTGCATTTATTTAAGTATTTAACTTGGCATACTGGCTCATAGCAGTTCTTTTTTTACTCGTGTAATTTTTGGCTTTTATAACGGAATGTTCTTTTATTCTTGGCAGGGAAAATGGAATTCTCTACATTTGGTTTTTATATTATTTCTTTGTGAAATAATATAATGCAACATTGTTTCATAATTTCCGTTTTCGTTTATAACAGAAAATAATAATGAACCTTCACTAGATTTTACAAGTCGTTCACAATTAATTCTTGTTTTTAAATGTTATTTTCGAAAGTGATGTTTTCTTTGTTACAATGTCATGGTGACCAGGCCGAGCCCACCA